TAAATAATAATCAAAAACCTTCTTAATGAAACAGAATTGTAGCCCGTAAATTTATGATCAAAGTGAGACATCTCTTAGCTCTTCATGATGTTTCTTTGCAAAGTTATAGAATTCACCAGAAAAGCCATAAATGTTCAAAGCTACAGAAATAACAAGAAATTAATTTAGGGTTTTTTATTGTAACTTTCTCTTAATAAGTCACGATGGTAGACCACAAAGTTCTGATTATAATGAGGTAACTCCCACCTCTAAGCGACCTTTCTTTGCAGAGTTATAGAATTTAGAAGAACCGCCCTAAATTAATTTTTTGTTATTTCTGTAGCTTTGAACATTTAGGGCTTTTCTTGTGAATTCTATAACTTTGCAAAGAAACATCATGAAGAGCTAAGAGATGTCTCACTTTGATCATAAATTTACGGGCTACAATTCTGTTTCATTAAGAAGGTTTTTGATTATTATTTAGAGTTTCTGAAAAATTGGTTTTCCAGAAAAGCGGATCTTCGAACGACCATGGGGAACTCCCATAATCATATTCGGAATCAGCATGGTCGATAACCTATATCCCACTCGATTTCGATCAAAAAGCGATTTATAACCTCGAGAGGTTCCCTCGTCAGTGGCAGGATTAGTAACTATTTTGCTCGATTAAATTTGGTTGGATGTGATGGAATAAGGAAATATGGCGAGGCGAATACATGAAGCGGTAGTAGGTAACAAGCGCTAGATTTGTGACATATAAATGAACTAAAGTTCCTTAAAGTAGAAGAATTATAAGCAAAGAATCTGCACCTGCTATAGTTTGATGCAGCACATTAGGTTCAAAACATTGTTTTGTGTCTTTTATTCAAACAACTAGTCGAATAATCTTCGAAAATAGATACATACCCAAAGAGGGCAGGCTGTTAATCATCAATATTATATGAATAATTTCCTAAAACTACTTGTCAATGAAATGAGAAGGCAACGATTATCACATAGTAGTCATAACATCATTATGATAACGTCCGACAATATACTCATAAAAATGTTTTTACTATTTCGAATCAGAATGTGTCATTATTATTTTACACCCACCTTATTTCACGGGTGCAGTACTATGTAGTTTCCAGGTGCTTTATGTAATTGATAAACTTGATAAATCAAACGTCCCTGATCATGGCATTAAATGTCATAACAAAGATGATGAATTTTTTAGTTACAGATGATTTGAAATAAATTCCCAACGCATGCCTTGATATAAATTGATTGTGCGTGAGTATTCATGACTACTAGCTCAAATACTTGCTGAAATAAAATCTTGATTAACTCTATTCTGTGACGTTTTTATCTGCAAATGTTAGTACTTTTTGTATAACCTAGGTAAACAATATTTACAAGATAAAATTTTAAAGTTTTAGTTTTCAACTTTGTTTTCTTTTACATCTTTTTGTCAAAGTAAAAGATATTGTCTAGTGGTAAATTTTCATGATAACAATTTCTTCTTTAATAATGAATTTGTTTTGTACCACGTTGAATTTTGACACTACATTTTAATTTTCTTTTAATTAAATTTAAAAATCGTTGTCTTAAACTATTAAATGTTATAAAATAAATCCAGAAACCAAATGTTGATTCAAAATAAATAGTTAATTCAATAAGATATTATAATTTATTTTGTTTTTCACTATTAATAGATAATATCATAATGATAATACTATAAATAACAAATAGACATATTGAACATATTGTAATAAATATTTCCATTAAAACCATTGTTGTTATTTGATAATCAATATATTGTAATCTTGGTAAATGTCGAACATTTCGAATTGTTAATGAACCATAAATAATTAAAATACATGAAATTATAAATTGATAAACAATTTGATAAATAAATAGTTATAAATTGATTTGTTGATAAACGACAATCACGCATTTCATTATTAGAGAGAGAGAGAGATTGAGGGAGATAAGGATAGAACAGAAAGAAGCAAAGCACAAAAGAACACTACACAGTTGATAGAATCGAACACTTGAACTTTGAATTCAAATGCAAAGAATTTACTTTTGGACTAAATTGTCCAAAAGTAAACTCTGAGGTGTTCTCATTCCCATCCTGTGCATTGCTATAGTGTGTTCTACTCCCGCTGCGAACAGAAAAGCTATATAAAAATTATAGAAAAAATAAAATTGTATTGTTAATAATGATCATAGACAAAATGTAATTAAAGTACGTTTAATAGCATTTTTAACTAAATTTCGACGTTGTCTATAATTATTTTTTAAACTTAAATAATATCGTTCAATTGAAGCAAATATTAAATGATTATATGATAAAGATACAAATAATGTTTGAATATATCCACTTAAACGATAAAATATTAATGATGTTTGATATAATTTAAATTCTAATTTATTTATATATGTTAAAAATAAAAATAATGGACGATTATTTATTACAATATAATCACATAATGTTCCAATTATCATAGTTGTAAAAGATATAAGAACGTTTCTGTTTTAATGAACGAAATGAAAAAAGAATCAATTTTCTATTTTAGCG